TCATGTCATTTGTTTTTGTAAACGTGATTTTTAATTACTAAATAATGTTCCATCATATGGATGGGCCATAATTAAATTAACAGTTTTCTATTATTGCCTACTTAGTTTCCAGCTTTTTACAATGATATATATGCAAGTTAACATTTTTCATAAATATTCGTCCTCTTCGCTTACTATTTCTTGAAGACATAGACGATAATACCGGGTAAATGGGCACGAATATTTGAAGGCATTTGATACATAATGCCAAATTTCTTACCGAAAGGGTTCCACCTACCAGCCAAATGAGAGTGCCCCGCACACAGCACCCTCACCGAGATTGAGTATCATCATTAAAAAGCCTTGCTATGTTTTGAAAAGCAGCATGCCATGATTCGATCACACAGGTTGCTGTGTGTCCAGAGGATTGCAGGGGGCAAGACCCGGCAGGGAAACCAGTTAGGAGCGGGTTGCGATGATCCCGGTGGGATGTGGCAGGGACTTGAGGCTAGGCAGCAGGGCTGGAGGAACGGGAACACGCACGGGACTCGTAGAATAGTCGATGGGGGCGGGGGATCGGTGCCGATAAGATAATTTTCCGCCGCCTGGGGTGAAGAGGGAGGAGGCTGCCCGTCCGGCTCGGGCCTCCCCCGCGCCTAGCTCGGCATCCATCCGAGAGGTTGGCCGAGGAGCGAGCCCCTCCCACCCCTTTAACACTCCCCTTTAAGGCGGGTGCCCGCGCGCACCCCTCGTATAACTTCGTATAATGTATGCTATACGAAGTTATTACGATCTCAATAAATTATTTTAAACAAAACAAAACATCCCACAGTGGTCAGGACTGGCCCGAGAAGACAGGGAAGCTGCTGCAGTGTGTCGGACGGGAACGGGCGAGGGCGGGAGGGGAGGGGCTCGAGAGGACCTCGGGTGTGCGGATTCACGATGGTGGGCACCCCTGATGGTGGGGGTCGGTGGGAGAGGAAAGGGTAGAGACGCCCCAGCTTCTGGAGGCCTGGGTGATGGTGGGGTTCATGGGGATCAGGGGCACCGAGGACTCCAGGAGCTTCTGGAAGAGAGATGAGCTGTCTGTGTTGGGTTTTCGGTGCCTGTGGGCCTCCCGGGGTGGGGGGGCTGCCCATGTGAGTGTCTTCCCCAAATGAGTCAGATGGAGAGTGTGTCCAACACCCATGTGGAAAACACACCAACATGTTACATCTCCTCAAACCATCCTGCCACAGTCCCGGGCCGAGCCGTGTGTGTCAGCATCGTTGGTGTTTTAGTTCAGCCTGGTGGGCAGATGGGTGGGGTGCCGTGGGGTGCATGGGGGGCTGGGCTGCAGGGGGGAGTGCTCATGTGAAAAGAAGAGACATGTCTGTGTGTTCCAGGCGGAACTGGATTTGGGGAGCTCTCGGGGGTCGCGCTCCCAGCACCCGCACGTTCCACAGAGGTGCATGGTTTCTGCCCTTCAGCATGTCCAGGGGCGGGGGGCTTTAATTTCTCCCTCCAGATGCTCCTGGGGGCGCCTTTTCTCCCGCCAAGATTGTGGGGTTCGGAAGATGGGGTCTTTGCTTCTCCGTGGTATCCTTGCGCACCTTAGACTATAGGGGAAGGGGGTCTCTAACCTTTCCTCCAGATCCTGCTCTTGGGGTGTCTCTTCTCCTGCCTCCCTAATATTCCTGGAAAGGGTGCGACAATTCCCCTTCGCCCAGTCCCTTGGGTTCATGGGGTAAAACCCCCACATCCAGTACACATGCCCTGTGGAAGCTATTTGGAGGAAGTGGGACGAACAGGCCCCTAAACCTTTTTGGAGCTTGGCTTTGGAAGCTCTCTAACCCCGTGAAACCTAGTTCCCCAACGGTTAATCTGAATCTAGGTGTATTTGCTTTCCTCCTCGCCTCCCCCACCCCACCCCAGGGGGCCCATTCAGTTAATCACTTTGTGGATGCCTTTCAGGTGAAATCCTAGAACCTGCCTCCAACCCTCAAGATTATTTAAAGATCCCACCACTAGACGATCTCCCTGGCCCTTGGACTGTACTTATTTACCTTCCCACACAATCTCTCTTCCCAGCCCTCACCCCCAGCTGCCCCAACCTCACACACCCCTTACCTTCCAACCCCCACCCTTCCCACTGTAGAGGTGGGTACCTTTCTGTGGACACTCCACTGGGTGTGTTGTTTATGAAGCTTTGGGGGCAGAGAGGAGCAGATGAAACCCTAAAATATTTAAGAGAGTCGTCTCAAGTGTGTTTTGGCATTGGGGTAGCAGAAGAAGGTTATATTTGGCAGTTATATTGAAATGATTATTGACCCACAGATGGATCTGGGAGAGACGATCAGGATTGTATTCGCTACCGATGTACAAAGCCTGCTGCTTTGACTTCTCAGCAGCCCCTAACCTTCCAGCAATGGGAGATCACGTGTGTGTTCTGTGGCTCTCTTCTCCACTAAAAATAATGATTCTCAGGTGGGTTCAGGCTTCTTTAATAAATCGAACAATCAAGAAAAGACACCACGCCACTTTGGAGTCTCAAAAGCAAGTTCATTATCTCCGGCTTTGGTATTTGTTCCCCGTGTCGCCTGTGCGTAAGGTCTTTGTTCACTGGCTAATGCTTCTGTTAAGCACCTCGTGTGTGTTTTTCTGTCTGGCTACTCTGTGGCATAGGTAACTGTGCCGTGGGGTCTGATAGACATGGTGAAGGTGTAGGAACGGAGCCTGATGTTTGTGGTGAGATAATGATTTTCATGAATAAGGATGCTTGCCGGGCCTTATTGTGGGCCATGTTTTTGGAATGTGTAACATAATGTTCTCTAGTGGGTAGTAAAAATAAGGAGACTCAACCTTCGGGTTTGTCATTTTATGTGTGTATGAATAAATCTTTAATTCCTCGCATAGGAATTTTTATCCTGCTCATAATAAATCCAAGATTTTTAACAGTCATTTCCCTGCTGATTTGATGTAGCGTCTGTGGGGTTTTTCTTGTTGTGAGCCTAGTTAAGAATGTTTAATTGATAATTCAACTGATTCTGAATGGAGCATTTTTTGTAACCTTCCTAAAATGGATATTTGTTGGGGTGAGGGTGGGTGGGCATAATAGGGAATTAGTTTCTTTTTTTGGTAAATTGGAAATTAGGTTGTGTCCAGCAAACATTCTCTAAGGCCTTTAAACTTCTTGGCCAGACACTCCAGTTTTTTCCGGGATACATCTAGTTGCCAATAGTGCATGCTACAGAGACCACTGTTGCAAAAGACTTAAAGTAAAACGTCAGTTCTGGGAAAATAGAGGTTATGAGATAACAAGAAGTTGGTATTTTTTTTCTCCCTGCATTTCCTATATAGTGCTCCCCTATGTGGGCTGGAGGAGTGACAGAGCCAGGCAGCTCTGTTGCCTGGTATTTGGACATGATATGAGGGCAGTAAGGGATAGGTGTTTTCTATTAATTAATGAATTAACTCAGACTTAGTAAAAGGCCAGTGATAAGGAGAATAAGTTTCAGGTCAGAAACAGTATCCATTTGATAGGTGTACCATGTTTTAAGGCCTAGTTTTTGAATTTTCACTGTTGGGGGGTGGGGAAGGGGAGGGAGAGGGGGATTGGAGAGAGGTTGGGTGGGGGACGCTGGGAATAATTGCAGTTTGAGGTGGTGGGCATGCTGATGGTATTGATCTGCTCACCACATCTTGGACACAGTATCTTGGGCACAGGTGCTGATGGTCAGCTCTGTGCCCCATGAATATGTATAACCAATAAAAATTTTTAAAAATGTAAAATTGAGTTAGCAAAAGAACATGACATTCATATCTTAAGACAAAAGCAACAAGAGAGACATTTGAGGTTCTGATAGGAACGTTTTGAATTTCTGAACAGACTAAAAATCTCATTTCAAGCCAAGTCTTGTACTTTTGTTGAGTGGACATGGATTTGAAGTGCAGTGGAAGTGAACTCTTGTAGAGGAAAAGAGAATCTCTGATTAGTTTTGTTAAAACAGCTCCTGGAACAGATGCGATAAAACATATTAAAATGGCTACTCTGGTTAAAGGTTAGAGCCAGATGGAGGGAGGAGGCTGGTTGTCATCCCCAGAGCTTTGCTCCCTTACAGGTTGTCCTTGAACAAGTAACTTAACCTTTCTGTGACTGCCTCAGTTTTCCCTCTGTAAAGAAATATTCTGTGTCACTCTTATTGGGACATTTGTGAGACTGACTTACTGATAGCCAGTTGGCGGGGAGGTATTTTTAGACACAGTTTCTGACTTCAGTGAATAAGCAATGTTGGGTTACTTTTTATCTTGTGGGGCAGAATAACATACTCTGTGATTGATAGACTCACCACATGTCACAGTGTGGTTAATTTCTTCTTCTTCGTGCTTTTTTGTAGACGTGTTTCAGATTTCCTCAAGTTACTTTCTGTCTTTGGCAGGCTTGTAGGCCCGGCAGCATACCTGTGCTAATCAAAGACAGTCTGAAGGGAGTGACCTGCTTTAGGCTTTATTAGTTTGGCAACGTTTTAATTCTTACGCAACTCTGGATATGTTTATGGCACTATGTAAATGTTACATAAGAACATGGAGGCTGAGAGGTGGCCAGAATGGTGACTATGAACACAGGAAGGTTAGACTGAGGACTTCATCGGAAAGGACCTTGGGAATTTACAGTCAGCACAGGAAGAGGCTGCTTTATTTTCCTCTAAAAACCTTTTTAGATGATTGTGTCTTTCAGGTGGACTGCTGTGTTATAAATAGGTTTATTCTCCACCGGTGAGCTAATTGTAACCTTGCTACCAAAATATGAATCAGTAAATGATGAGATATGCAGCTTCTTTCAGCATGTCCCATGGAAGCTGCTTGTTGCATTTTGGAGCATGAGTTGAATTGCATTGCAGTCTGTTCTTATAGCAACTCAGGAGGACAGGGTGTTGAGGTGGAATGGAATTCTCAGTTCGTGGTGCTTTAGTCATCTTTATTTTATTTTTGAAGCTTAAATTAGAATACCAAAGGGGCTCTTTTTGTTTGTTTTTGGCGGCTGGCTGGTAGGAGGATCGAACCCCGGACCTTGGTATTATCAGCACCATGCTCTAACCGACTGAGCTAACCAGCCAGCCCCTCTTTTGTTATAATTTTGAAATCTTTGTTTACTGTTCAATTTTTGCTTGGAGCAGCAGTGAACATTAATTTGGGAATCCTGCCTCTTTGTCTTGAGTTCTTGTGTTACTTGACTGTTGTTGTAGGAGTTGATCTAAGAGGTTCTTATCTTGTTTTTAAAAATCCTGGAGTCCTCTTTCTCATCAGTCCCTCTGATGCCATACGTGCTGCAGGCATCTCTAGCCCCCCCCCCCCCCCCCCCCCCCCCCCCCCCCCCCCCCCCCCCCCCCCCCCCCCCCCCCCCCCCCCCCCCCCCCCCCCCCCCCCCCCCCCCCCCCCCCCCCCCCCCCCCCCCCCCCCCCCCCCCCCCCCCCCCCCCCCCCCCCCCCCCCCCCCCCCCCCCCCCCCCCCCCCCCCCCCCCCCCCCCCCCCCCCCCCCCCCCCCCCCCCCCCCCCCCCCCCCCCCCCCCCCCCCCCCCCCCCCCCCCCCCCCCCCCCCCCCCCCCCCCCCCCCCCCCCCCCCCCCCCCCCCCCCCCCCCCCCCCCCTCTCAGTTTTTCTGTGTCATGCATGGTTTAACCTGAGCTTGGGCTTCAGAGGCATCATCTCTGCTCTTGTCTGTTCTCTCCGCCTGCTGGCTTCTCCATCATGGAAAAATGGAATGCCAAGCAAAAACACAATTTCGGAGAGTATCTGTCTTTTCCTTACTCTGTAGCATTGCCAGAGTTTGGTTTAGCTGTGAAGTTTCCATCTCAGGCAATCTTATCTGCTCTCTAGGTTTTAGAAACTGCCACTTTTCAGGCAGCCCTGGTCATTTTTTGGGTTTTCTTCTCACTTCACCCAGTCTTAAGCCTGCATTTGTCTTGCTAAATATTTTGAATTTAACAATGAAAGTGACTGCCTTTCCCTTTAATGTATCGTGTCACCCCTAGTATTTCGCAATTACATATAAAGAGATTTCTTTATTCGTTTGGTTGGGCGTGTGCCTGGAACAGTTTTTGGCATGGGGAAATAACAAGTTAAACAAAAGTCCCTAAATTTCTACTGTTATGGAACTTATAATAAATAAGTAAACAATTATCAGTCATGAGTGCTGTGAAGAAAAGCAGGTAAGAAGATGTGCTGTAGTGTGGCTGGAGCTCCCATTTCACCTCTCTCAGCCTCATTTTCCTCTGTAATGTGGGCTAATATAGTCAAGTCTCATTGTTTGTGGTGGTTATGTTCTATAAAGTTGCTGCTGACACTGAATTAGTGAATACTGAAGCATTGCTCCTAGGGGATATATGGGGTTAGGTTCCTTTGAGCCTCTCGTCACAATGTTTTCATCAACTGATCAATACATAACCTTGTGTTATGTGTTTCTGTTTAAAGACACCTTATTTAATACATATTGTTGATTCATTAACATTGAACTCAACTAACAACAGCACTATAACTCATGCCTGAGCCAAGCTTATCCTTTTTGTCTGCCCACCCTTTTCTCCCCCAGGATCAGTAGCTATTGAGCAATTTTTTTCTATCTTTTATCAAGCCGAATGCTGAGAGGGATACTGAGGAAAGAATCTGTCCTTGCCCTTTAGAAGTTTACACACAGATTGACTTTTCTTCTGTTAGTGTTGAAACTACCACTAACTATGGGAGCTCTTCTCATTCACTGGGATGACAGTAGTAATAAAAGCATCTGATTTACTGATTGCTTACTGTATACTCAAGCATTATGCTAAGCACTTGTATTCGATCATTTACTCTATACAGCTATTCTCTGAGGTGCTCTTATCCCCATTTTACAGATGGGAAAACTGGAGCACAGGGAGGTTAAGCAGTGGGTGCAAAATCTGTCTTACTCCAAAGCATGTGCTCTAAATACTGTACTGTATGCTATGATGACTATAAAAGTGATTTTCTTTTTTTTTTTTTTCCTTTTTGTCTTTTTTTACTGACCGGTAACGGGATCGCAACCCTCGGTGTCGCGCCCCTACCGGGGACTGGCAACGGGATCGCAACCCTCGGTGTTGCGCCCGCACCGCGCTCAGCCAGTGAGCGGGAACCGGTCTCCACATGGGATCCGAACCCTTGGCGGGAGTGCCACCACGCTCCCAAGCGGTGCACTCTCCAGTGCGCCACTGGGCCGGCCCTAAAAGTGATTTTCTAACCAGGCTCTCTGTTACAGCCTCCTGTTTGTCCCCTATCCTACTGCCAGATTTAACTTTGTAAAGTGCACGTTGTCTGTCTGATGGTTCACTGCTTTTATGTGGCTTCTAGGATCACTACAGACCCCTTAGCTTGGCATCACGATCAATCTGATCTGGAGCTGGTCTTCCTTCCTGCCCTTATCTCTGGTTGGAATCTTGGCATTGTTATTGCGTCTGTCAATTTGTTGTGGACCTAATATGCCTTGTTTTTTTGTTTGGGTTTTTTTCTTTTTTTTCACAGCTGGCTGGTACAGGGATCAAGTCTGCTCTAACCAGCTGAGCTAACCGGCCAGCCCCTGTGCCTTTATTTTTCATGGCCCTTTGCCTTTCCTGTTCCTTCTCTCTGGAATGCTTTCCTCCTGTCTTTTCTTCCTGTCTAAACCCAACATCTCCCAGTGTGGTACCTTTGTCCTCCTGTGTTCCCCCAGTCAGTGATTCCATCCACTCTGCTCTTCCCCTTGGTTGTCTGCTTCTGCCACTCTCCCATCCTCCACCCACCAAAAGTTGATGCTAGGAATTGGCTTATTCTTTAAAATGGCTTTGGTCTGTGACACAGCCTTGCATATTTTAAGTACTTAATAAATTTGTTTAATTGAATTCATTCATTTCTTTTCCATCCTCTCAGTAAAATCCTAGGTAAATAATTCCAATTCTGTCCTGGTGTGATTTTATTAGCTCCTTGTATATGTAGCTCCTTGTATATATAGTTTTTTATCCCAGGCACTGAAAAATGGTGTGAACATTTCTGAGTTACTTGGAACATCATAATTTCTTTTCCTGCCTCACCTTTTCATCTCTGTTTATTCTATCACCTACCCGCTTTATTCCAGCCAAATGAACTTGATCTCAACCTCATTAGTTTTATTCTCAGTCTTGGCTGATTTTTATCCCTCCTATATTGTCCCGGTTGCCTGAAACAATCATTCCTATCTCTCTTCTCACTCAAAACCGTGACATACACTGTCTCCTTTCTACTCATCCATAGTATAGTAAATAGGTCAGGAAGAAAATAGTGGTGATAAATATCCTCCCCTGCCTTAATGAGCCAGAAGTATGTCTATTTAAATATAACAAAGAAAACATTGATTTTACATGTCCGTTACAAACTATAAGGAAAGGAGAAATACCAAATTTCTCGTAGATAGCTGAGTCTGTACACTTAGGTCCTAGGAACACTGGACACACTTCCTCATAATGACACCACTCATTCTAGTTTTTCTTTGACATTCTCCTGGGCAGCAGGTGGGCCCTTGCTAAATGTTCAGGTATTTACAGTCAGCCATAAATTAAGTTGCAATGACAGGTCTCCTTAGCATAAACATCAAACAGCTCCTTTGAGTGAGAACAAAGCTTTCATTCTCTAGACCTGAGGCTTAAGGTTGAACTTGTTGAAACAGCTCTCTAGGGTTGGGTTTGTCTCCAAGTAGAATGTCAGAAAGGCAAGTTTGTAGAATGGATATAGTGTGGAGCCGGCTTTTCAAACACCTTTCTCTTATGCAAACCTCGTTCTGAGACCTTTTCCCAGAGTGGAATGAAATGCCAAGCTTATCAAGTGTCTTATTGTTAAATCTGGGTTTTTTGGCTCCCCGCTTCATACAAATAGCTTCCTTTAAATCAGTTATCTTTTTTTCTAAGTGCTTTTTACCAGTACATTTTTTGTTTTTTTTTTTTTCTAGATACCAGCAACTACACATGTCAAATTTGACATAGTTATAGCTCCTGGGTACTTGAAAGCTTTTTGTTTTGTTTTAATGTATTTTAAAATCTAATTTTGATGATTGCGAAAGTGAAATGTAACATCATTTTTACAAATAGCATGTGGTTGCTTTACTGCAGCAAGGTTTTTCTACTTAGGCTGGTTAGAACTTTGGCTGCTAGTACGTTATCAGTTCCCAGTTCTGCCTGCCCACCCTTTTCTCTCCCAGGAGAACCAAATATTACCTTTATTTTGTGACAGTTTAGTGCCAGGCACTTCCATTTTCTAACCTAATCAAGATTTTTATAAAAATTCTGGCAGTTGTCTAGATCAGTATCTATTGAACAATTTTTTCTATCTTTTAAAACAGTGAAACCCTTTTAAAAAAGAAAATGTAGAAATGTATATGAAACCAGTGAAAGCTGAGCAACTCTGGCAGACCCCCTTCCCATTCCTTAAATTATTAGACTAAGATATATTAAGTACAGTGCTGTTTGCCAGGCACTGTGCTAGATATAAGTAAGAAAGTGGTGGTAAGGACACTGGTTCCCACCTTGTGGAGTTCAGAGTTTCCTGAGATGTTGTGGAGAGCCTAGGGATTCAGGAAGAACACAGTCTGAAAAACACTGTGTGCTCCAGTTTTTGTTTTTGTTTTTGTTCCCCCTGTGCACGTATTTGGTTTTTTTTGTTCTCGTAGCTGTGGTTATTTTATACATATTATTTTGCAAATATGGACTTATGGTAGTTTTTAATTGTGGTAAAATATGTATAACAGAAAATTTACCATTTTAACCATTTAAAAGTGGCGTTAAGTACCTTCATAATGTTGTGCAAGCCGTCACCACCATGTAGTGCCAGAACTTTTTCATTATCCCAAAAGAAAACCCTGTACCCATTAAGCTGTCACTTTCCCCCATCCCAAACTCCTGACAACTGCTAACCTGCTTTCTGGATATTTCACATAAATGAGATCATATAATATGTGGCTTCTTTCACTTATAATGTTTTCAAGGTTCAACCATATTGTAGCATGTATTGATAGTTTATTTCTTTTTATGGATGAATAATATTCCATCATATGAATATACCACATTTTGTTTATCCGTTCAGTATTTGATGGACATTTAAA